GGAGGGGGCGCAGCCTCCACCACAAACTGGTCGTCCTCTTCGTTCTCAGAGTTCTGCACATCGACAATCACATTGGAGACGGTTTGACCACTTCCTGTCCTGAATACAAAGAAATCAGATTAAATTAGAAATCTTGATGATGTTTTCATCCACCCCGTGCATCTGGAGCTGAGTGCGAGGTTATGTGAGAGCAGCTCAGCACAAGGGCTGTCGCTCTTGGTGGCAGTTTCTCCCGTATGAGTCTGGGTCCCCAGAGACTTGCCCGGAACTGGAGCTCATAGCTTGAGATTCCCTCGCAATTGAAAAAGACAACTGTGTCCTCAGCTGCCAGCCCTCTCTGCATGTGCTTCTGTACCTCTGTATTTTACTCCCACACCGCACCTCCTTTGAGTCTCAGTATTCTTTTCTCTTTCCTTCTAGTTGTAGAATTTCCACTCAGCCAGCCTTCCTGTGGTTCTGGATGATGTCCATTCTGTCTTTTAGTTGTATTTTTGAAGTTGTTGTGGGAGGCAGCAATTTCCGGTGTTTACCCATGCCGCCATCTTGGTTTCTCTTTCTAATTCTTTACATTGTAGAGTTAGATGATTTATTACCATTCTTTTCTTGTTTTGTGTTTTTGTTTGTTTTTTTATTTGTTTTTTGAGGTAGGCCTGTAGAGCCATAAAGTCCCTTCTCAGGACTGCTTTTACTGTATCCTATAGAAGTTGGATTGTTATTTTTTCATTATCATTCATTTCCAGGATGCTTTTAATTCCTTCTTTGATCTCTTTGGTAACACAATCATTGTTTAATAGCATGCTATTCAGCTTCCAGGTATTTGAATTTTTTTAATTGTTTTTATTGTAGTTTATTTCTAATATTCTGCCCTTGTTATCAGAGAAGATGCTTGATATGATTTCAATCTTCTTGAATTTAAAGAGACTTTGCCTGTGACCCAATATGTGGTCTATATTTGAAAATATCCCATGTGCACTTGAGAAGAACATATATTACGTGGCTCTGGGGTGAAATGTTCTGAAGATGTCAATTAGGTCTAACTGATCTAGTGAGTCATTCTTTAATTGCTATTTATTTGCTGATTTTTTGTCTAGAGGATGTATCTAGTGATGTCAGTGGGGTATTAAATTCTCCTACTATGATTGCATTTTTGTTGATCTCTCCCTTGATACTTCCAGGTGTTTTTTTTTTTTAATGTATTTGGGTTCTTCTTCATTGGATGCATATATGTTTACCAGGGTTATATCCTCTTGTTGTATTGATCCCTTTAGAGTTATGAAGTGGCCTTCCTGATCTCTTGTTATGGCCTTCATTTTGAGGTCTATTTTGTCAGATATAAGTATTGCTACCCCAGCTTTTGGTTTTTTTTTTTTTCATTTCCATTTGCCTGGAAGATATTTTTCCATTCCTTCACTTTCAGTCTGTGTGAGTCCCTCATTCTGAGGTGGGTCTCTTGTAGACAGCATATATATGGGTCATGTTTTTTTTTATCCATTCAACCACTGAAAATCTTTTGATTGGAGCATTTAGTCCATATGCATTTAAAGTTATTATTGATAGATAGTTGTTTGTAGCCATTTTTATTTTTTGTGCCCATGTTCCTTCTTCCCTCTCTATTTCTTCTTTTTACTCCAGTGCTTTTAGCATTTCTTGCATTTCTGGTTGGTAGTGATAAACTCCCTTAGCCTTTTTTTTTTTTTTTCACTGCTAAATATGGTTGTCTTTATTTTCTTTTTCCTTGCCTAGCCCTATCTAAACAATAAAACTACAGGACTGAAATTAACAACCCATTAAAATTAGCAGTAAGTTATGAAAATCATAAAGCTTTTTTAAAAGTAATTATGGGTAGTTAAATTATTTAAAGTATACAAAGTTCAAAGAGCCTTTAAAGTCAAAGGAGTAAGGAGGTCTCCAAGGTTTCCTGGGGTAAGGGAGAGGCAAGGCCAGGGAGAAAACTTGGGGATTTGAAGGACAAAGGGAACACACAACATAAAACCTTTGACAAAATTAATT